AACTCCCCCCATAGAGACTCCCCCCTGTTTTAGGCAGTCACTGGTATTGTCAGATCTGTCATATCTAAAAATGAGATAACCGGTTGACCCAAGCTCACTGGAAAAACCACTGCTGTCCAAAAAAGTCTCGGTCAGCAGCAGGACATCATAATCTTCAGTCAAGGCATTGCACATTAGGGTCTGGAGTTTAGATTTTAGACCTCTCACAAGTAGGTACTTTGAATTGATCTTTGTCGGTAACTCCACAACTTTAAGTAAGTTGTGACAGTTGTGTGTGTAAGTGCGTATAACAAACAATCCCTAACTCCATTATCTGAGCCTGAGACCCACTCGCGGTTTGTTTTGTTTGATAAAAAGACCCTACTCAATAAATCCTGAAAGTTTGAAGTCGCTCTAATTGCTTGAAGTATTTTTTTTTGCCAGTTGATGGTACCCTCTTTAACAAAGTGCATTTTTTTCCATGCGATTTCAAGATAATTGAAAATAAATTATACATTTTTGTAAAGTAAAAAAATCAGGCTTTCTGACGATGACAAAATTTACAGAGCGTTTGAAATTGAGGCAGTAATTTTATTTCAAGAAATCGCATCTCTGTAAAACCAAATTTCAGCAAATTTTAGGATTTGGCAATACTGTGAGAAAAAAATCTTATTCTCCCGAATAATCCGCATATGCAGCATCTTTCTCTTGCCACTATTAATGTTGAGTGAAAATAATTTCCGGAAAATGATGATTTAAACAGCAATAAAATGTCACGCTTCTTTAAAGGTCAACGCAATAAATAAAACATAAATCTTTTAAATTAAATGATTCAATGTTGGTATTTTGTGACGCATTTACTCATTCATTTTTCATATTAAATGCAACTGGTTTTGAATATCCACCTACTCTTTATAAAAGGAAACGGAACTATCTTATAGTAGAGCGAAAACATGTTCCACGATAAGTCCAAAGGGAAACAAATCAAGGTAGGAAAGACATAAATAAATGAATGAAGAGTCTATAAGTAGAACGATATCAAAAGCCAAAATGCAAGAATTATCTACTAACAACTACTAAAAAAATGCAAATTCTCGAAACTGTCAAATTTTGTACTCTGAACTGCAACACAACAATAATACTCAGAGATATACGGCAGAAATTATTTACATCCCCAAAATCCGCAGAATCGAGCTTTGGAAGAGATGTCAGAAATTAAGTTAGACGGGTTGGTTGAAAGGAAGATGAAGAGCAACAGAACTCCAGATGATAGCATCAGACCATCTGTAAACTATTCAATGCTTGCTTGATACATGATAAGACCCCTCGAAATGGACCCGAGCTTTCATAAATATTCTTCATAGAAAGGGAGACATAACATTGCAGAACTTCTATGTCTTCCCACAATTTCAAAACGTTTTACGAAAATGAATTTGAGAACGTCGACTTCGGAGACCTGATGGCCAGTGCATGTGGCCTAATGTTACCTTCGGTAAAGAAACACTGATCCTTATCAAAAATACTGAGCGTTGGACTAAAAAGATCATCGAGTATCACAAGAGTCATAATATGACAGCATGGCAACAACCTAAGCAAAATGAATTAATGTAGCATAGATTAGACCAAGATGAAAGCGTATGTTCAGCAGTTCAGCAGTTGACGCAGATGACTGGGTATGATGATGTCGATGATAGGGATTTAATATCATTATCACAAAAATCACGTCTAAATATGCCAGTTTAAAAAAACTTGTGAAATGATATATTAAGCACATAGTTCATGGAAAGTGACCATCATCTTATATAACTTCTTATTTCAGGAAAAAAAAGGTATTATGATGAAAGGTATTAGGCCCCATCGCAGGAAATAATTGAAAAATTAGGTGTTTTCATTAAAAATTTGGGGTGGTTGGATATTTAAGAAACTGTCCCTTTCCAAACAAAAATCGACTAGGCCTAACTTGCGTCCTCATGCTTTGAAAAGGTTGGTTTGTTTTTATGTATATTGACGCGTTACGGTGCCATATATTATATACCTAATTGAATCAATAAAAATGCAAGCACCTACAATGACATGATGTTCTTTGCGGTAACTTATTCAAATTAAAAATACAAGAATTTGGAATGTTTTATAAGGTAAATTAATTAGTAGGTAATTAATAATACATGCTTTTATATCATCGTAAAATTTGTTAATTATAATATTTTACACATATTATAATACATTATTTTTTAATGTGATAGGATGTTTTTAAATCCTGTATAGTTATGCGATGCCTAGTTTCATATTTTAATGATTTGTATTATTTTTCTCTAGCTATCCATACTGGTTGAAGCCATAAAAGAGATACGGCGTGATATAAGAAAAACTAGTGAAACGTTCTATGAATAAATAATTCATAGATGTTCTGGTTTTTACATTTTTATCCAATTTATTAGCTTTTACTTGTTTTTGTTCAAATTCTCTATTGCATACATTTTGATAGCAATGCAAAAACTGAATTTATAATTTTTAAACCTTAAAAAAAATAGAGAAAAAAAAATTGTCTTTCAATGTCAGTTTGAAAGACCACCGAGACCACCTTTGGATTTTATTTTAAAAGCTTATTTAGGAAAAGTAGTATTCCAGTATAATGCATTCGTTCATTTTTTTAACCACCATTTAGGATAGTTTGGGTTAGCTATCATTGGATTTTTATTCAACATTTAATCATATTTTAATAATCGTATTCATATAGGTATGTAATATCTATTCACAATCCGATGTCCAAAAGTAAAGGTAAAATTTATCACCTTTCCCTATCAAATAGTATTGATAGGGAAAGGTGATAAATTTACCTTTACTTTTGGACTACGGATTGTGAATAGGACATATATGTCTCTTGAACTAACATTTCGGTAACAAAAATACAGATTTTGTTAATTTAGTTTGCCCCCAGACGTGCTAATTTGATAATAAAAGCAAAAATTTTAAAACTAAAGCTGGCCAATGGGAAGTCTTATTATTGTTATAATATCCCTTTCTGTCAGATATTTTTATGAACTACTTATTTAATCATAAAAATTATTAGACCTACGGCCGAGAAGCAAATAAGTCACCTCATCGGGTACAAAAGGTTCGAGTTTCTTGGATGAAAGTACTTTATGTGCATATCTCAAAATCGGCCGTCTGCCGTGGTCCAGCGGTCAACTTCAGTCACGAATTTTAAAGTGCTCCACACCTGTAGCTTCATACTCTGGTGCTCCAAACAACTGTTGTGTCACTGGAACGCACCCTACTTTAAGCTTCGTGTTTTTGATGCCACCATAAAATAACAGGTGCTAGAGAGGGCAGGGGAGAGGAAAAACGAACAGTTCAGTAGCGCGAAACTCTAATGTACTGGAACGCCTATAAACAATCTAGAGCAGCTCAAGAGTGCAAAGTGCGTCACTGGAAAGCGACTCAGATCTGCTCGCTCGGGTTTGGGAGGGCGGATGGCTAATTTGTGTCATTACCATCATATTTGTGACCATCGGGTATGGGGGGCTAATCTTGAGCTTGGGGGGGCTAAGCTGCCTGATCACTGTCTGAGTATTCCACTTTTATTATATCTAAAAACTTCAATTTTCAAGTCAAGTTGAATTTTTTTATCTAGAATGTTCCGTGTGGAATTTCTTCGTAGTAAATTTTTATCCTATTTTTGAAAGCGTAAAAGTTCAATCGCTCTACACTACATAAAAGAAAATGGAACTGATATTTCAAATTCGAGAAAACACAAGAAGTGATACCTAATAATTGTGCTGGGTATCAGAAGATTAAGAAAAACTAATTCACAAAACATATAGGTACCCAAAAGTATGCATGGTTAAATCGGAAGTGATCCTATGATGTCAAATAACGCATATTAACGACTACAAGTAGGTAGGTACCAAAAATCCAGGTTGAAAAACTGAAAAAGTTATTCAGTTGAAAATGAGTCAGAAATACCTTATATGATTTGTAAACTTTGGCATTGCAATAAATGTGGATCTCAAGGCAACTTGGGAATCATCTTCACGAGAACCGGATTTTCAATATCGCTTGTAATGACATTTATATTTATTTTAAAAATACCAAACTTGAAGCAAGGAATTAATTTGGTTTGCGGTTTGAATGACAATGGCACATCATCTTGAATAAAATGCATCTATATTGCTACTGGAATTTTACAAAATAATACAATTAACCTCTTTAAATTCTAGTAGCGTTTCAAATTTAATTTTTTTCGTAAAAAACATTAGTTTTTTCGTACTCAAATAAAACTGTAGGTATGATTATGGTGGCTAAAGTTGATTCAGCTATCTTATGATTATCCTACCTTGTCTGTAGCTTTTATGGGCTAGAAAATTTTATAGCATTTTGCCTTATATTCTAGAATTTCTCTAACCTACTCTACCGGTCTGGATGTTGAACAGAAATTATCCAATCATCAGTATGAAATACTAAGTACCTACTTTACCAACGTTACTGATTTGCTGAACGTCTTTCAAAAAATCAACTTTTTTTTTTAAATTTCACCTTAAGGCAGAGTTAGGTGAGTAATTACTATTTTGACTATCTAATTATAAAAATAAAACTGGTTATGGAAGTAGTAAATTGATGATATTATGAAATATGTATATTCATCTCGGATATTGAAAAGCTGTAATTTTTTTTTCAGAATCTAGAAAAATACCTATACCTATAACTTAATACAAATACACATAGTGCATTCTTTTTATGAAGGTGCTTTTACCAGTTTTATCAGTTGATTATTAATTATTACATAGATACTCAATCTATCAGGTACATGATACATATTTCTTCAATTATTCTGTTTATTCAAAATTTGAAAATACAACTAGGTAAATGCAAATTGCAATCAAGGCAGAATATTAGGAATATCTCAACACAAAAGTAAAGTGTAAAGAATATAATAAATTTAAATAAAACTCTCTAATTAGTATGTGTTTAATGTGTTTTCTATTACAGGAAAAATTAAAAAAAAAGTCTAGGTACATTACCTTCAGATAAACTAATTTATTATCAACAATATCCAAGTCCTTCAGGCTATATAACACAATGTCACCAGTACCACCTAACACTGAAAAATAACCAGGAGATTTTCTCGTTTATCGTTTTTATAGTTCATCGAAATATTGTATAGCCTCCGGGTTTTTTACACATATGAGAAATCATTGACTTTGTGGTCCGCGATGATAAATGACATGAATCTCAGAATTCGGTAAACGAGCGCCAAAATTTTATTCATAGTAATAGTAATAATGATTAAATTTGATAAGTGAATTCGTAATTATTCCTAGGTCAAGGATGATATTGGATTGTGTTCGTTTAGCGTTATAAAAGAAGCGAATTAAAGTAGTGGGAATTTTTTTTACCGAAATTATTACTAAATCATTTATTTGGAATTATTGATGATCTTATTTTAAGCCTGGCAACTCGAAGTGTGTAATAGATTTTCCAAAAAATAAAAATCGCAATGGCAAGAAGATGGTATGGTAAAAAGTTTTTTCTTCAGGTAGTTAGGTAACTAACGTGATGTCAATAAGACCTAATCCCTGTTTGGGAATTGTACCGTTTGGGAATTGTACCGCTGACCTGATACAAGATTCCCTTGATGCCTGAAAAATCCAAATAAGGGCGTAAGGCAATATTTATGAAAAAATTTAGCTATCTATCTACTTTCGAACTACAAACCAAATCAGAAGAAGGCAAATAATGATAAAACAAAACAGTAGGACCAACACAAATCCAAAAAAAAAGTATATTTTTAAATGTCTATATTGTATTATATTGTTTACTAAATAAAGGCATTTATTATTATTGATCAAACCTGTTTCTCTGAGTTGGTATACTTTCGCTTGTATTGCAGTGACGAGAGCTAATCAAGCTTGAAACCGATAGGTATTCAATTAGCATAGCATCCTTTGATTCAGAATTCAAGTCCTCTCCATTGTCTTATAGAGTAATAATCGAAGGTAAAAACACCGGTATATCCTGTAATCTGACCAGAACAACAGAAACTCATCAGTCATCGTGTGGGTTATTCTACCATTTGGTTTGCAGTTTCGATTAAAAACTTGTGTTTTTTCAAAGAAAATCTTTGATTTTATATTCTCAATAAAACTATACCCGTTTTAGTTCTCTTTGTTACGTGTCTAATTTTCAGTCGATCAAGTTAGGAGATTGTTCGACATATTTTTGCTGCCTTTGGTCTTTTACACTCTGTCCTTGCCTGATTTTGCCTAGCACGGAATAAAGGGAACTAATAGTATAAAATCTTTAATATATATTTCACATAACAGTCACAATAATTATTCTCCATGAAGATATCTACAGCTTCTGGCGATCCCTGAAAATAATATTGATTTGAGATAAGATAAGATCGTATAGAGCAAAACATTTACCATTTTTTTGAGTTTTTACTATTGTGTTCTCTGTTCTGTGTTTTGTTCTGTAGGAATCAGGTAAATCAGCATTTGTTTTCCCTATTTTTGCAGAGGTTTTCATTGTGCAACTTTGAAAACATCAGGTTTCCAGCCTGAAATAATAAGAAAATTGAGTAGGGTTAAAATAGGAAAATGTAAACAAATGTTGGTAGGGTAGGGTTAGGAAATTGTTTAAATCAGACAATGAACTAAAGTCACCTGTGGCACCAACACTTGAATATTGAGTATTGAATGCGCAATATGCATTAATTCGAACTGTCCAAAAATAAACGAAAAATTCCCTAGAATCCGGTTCGTGTAACCAGAAATTCTACTGTTGGAGGAATTTTTCTTTCTCTAGAATCACACAGAAGAGGAGCCACGTTATAGCTTCCTTCTGAGGCATTTTGGCTAATTTGAGTGAATATTTGGGAAGTAATTGAGTCTTAAACGGTGGCTATTATTCTTATATAACACCACAGCACGTATTTGCTAATTTAACCAAATTTTAGTACCCTACGTAAAAACCCATATTATGGAAAATAAGTATGGTTCGTGTCACGTGTTGAGTGTCGAAAAGGTCAATCCACATTGGTAAGTCCCTATTATTCATCATTTTATTTTGTATTCTGATCCCTGTTAGAGTTTTATGTCCTCAAAAACGTAATTGATTGCAGCACTTACCTCAATTTTTATTGAAACGAGTTTTTATAGTGTGAACTCCCTCTTTTAGGCCTTTTATATTGAGTAACGTTACATCCCTTTCTGCTGTTGCTGTCATTAGATGCACAAAGGCACCTCTGCTTGCTGAATTGCTGGTGCTCAATCCTGGACCTGGATAGATTGCTTGTCGAGCTTTTGGGGCCTGTGAATCTCAATCGTCCCCCAAGAGGTTCTTAGTAGTATCACTCCATCAAATAACTACATAATCAGGTTAGCGTATTGTTGTGCCGTTTTGGGAACCATCCACCCCGTCTGTATTAAGGGTTCCATCATCTCCTTGGAAGCTGGAGCCTCTCACCTGCAACCACTTGTACTCTTCAATATTATAGCCAGTTGAATTACCACTAACTGCCTTGAAAATTACCTTATCATCCTTCAGGTTTAAATTAACTTAATTTTACGTTTCCTTACCATTGAACTGTTACTCCCCTACATAGATAACTCATCCACCCCTAGTTACCCCTGTCTATACAGGGTGTCCACTTAGTGCGATATCGGACGATATCTCCTTACAGGGTGATGCAAGAAAAAAAATTTAAATTACAAAGTTGTTTGATGCTCTAAAATGCATTAGTTGAAAATATTTTTTAATATACAGGGTGCTCCGTTTATGAAGTATGTGACAGAACTTTGTTATTTTAAATGTAACACCCTGTATGTGATTACATATTTGGATTCTACGTAAAATTCTGAGCAGATTTCATGTAATATACTCTATACCTAAGTTCAACTGTTTTAGAAATATTGACAGCTGAAAATTGACTTTTTGCAGCTTTGACAGGCTGTAAAACCTAAACGGTTAATTTTAGACTAAAACCAATTTTACATTCCCATATTAGATTTTTATAAACTATCATTTGACACCAACTTTGAATTTAACCGGAGATTAAATTTTACTGGAATTTTTAATCATGGATTAAATTCAAAGTTGGTGTCAAATGATAGTTTATAAAAATCTAAGATAGGAATGTAAAATCGGTTCTCGTCTAAAATGAAACGTTTAGGTTTTACAGCCTGTCAAAGTTTCAAAAAGTCAATTTTCAACTGTCAATATTTCCAAAACAGTTGAACTTAGGTATAGGGTATATTACATGAAATCTGCTCAGAATTTTAAGTAGAATTCAAATATGCAATCACATACAGGGTGTTCCATTTAAAATAACAAAGTTCTGTCGCATACCCCATAAACGGAGCACCCTGTATATTCAAAAATATTTTTAACTAATGCATATTAGAGTATCAAACAACTTTGTAATTTAATTTTTTTTCTTGCATCACCCTGTAAGGAGATATCGTACGATATCGCACTAAGTGGACACCCTGTATATCTCTTTCCCCTTCTATATATTTTTATTAAACAAGTATGGTATCAGGTTGTATTAAGGTATTCCTGAATAAGGGTAAAGCGCAAGAGACCACAAAATCAGTACAGAAACAAGAGCAAAAATAGAATAAAGAATTCTAAGAAGTACAAAAACGGGAACCAAGATACCAAAAACAAGAAAAGAAATAAATAGACATTAATAAGGCCATGAGAGATATAAGAAAGTATTGAAACGATAAAGTGGGCAGGCTTATACTACAAAAAATCGAGGAAAACAAAAATATGAAGAAGATGATGAGAAGGAAACTGCAGTCTCCTAGGAATAGGAAGATATTTTGAAGCTCAAAGGCGAAACTAACTGGTACAACGAACAATAAAAAAGAAATAGGTACCTCCTAGTTATTGTGGAAAGATTTTACCAGCAAGCTCTTCACACAAATCCAAGTTCAATATTTCTGGATTACATCCATTTTTAGGTATTAACGCACATGTGAAGACCACTATGTGGCAACAAAACTTTAGCTTCAGTGCACTCGTATCCTATTTATCTTAATAGTAAATAGTGATGTCGTCCCCCTGTTGTTTCCTAATTAGCCATTGTATGTAGGTACATATAGATTTGGTTCTCAATCGCAACCGCCATGACAGGAAAACGTGCTCTATTAAAGCGAAATTAGATGTTCTTGATCAATAACGTCATGAAAATATTTCTCAAACTAGAGGTAAGTACCAAAAACGTAAAACAAAATTTAAAACCAAGTCATACTTAAAATACCTACTGCTCTGGTTTCGACAAAGAAGTTCTGTAATTGATTATTTTATCCATACGATATGTAGGTACTTATGAATGCATCTTGTCTAGGAATTAGAATTTCATTGACTAGGTCAATTATTAATTAATAATAATTGCCCCATGTTAGCAACTATATCAACACGCGTATGAAACTACCCTTAATAGTAAATACCTACCACAAAACAAAACCATGTGTGACCATGGTAACGTAAGGCATTTTCAGGCAATACAAACAATAATCCTTACAGTAGGTAAAACATATACGTACCACAAAGCTTTATGATAGCAGTCAGTCTTTAAAAATGGTTGTATTGGAAGTGTATACAAAATGTATTAAAGTTAAATACAAAGCCTTTCTACTGTCAAAAGCTACACTTGTAGCTTTAATTTCCGGTTTAGTGTCTGTTATTTTGCCGTTTGTGTTGTGCTATGAAACTGGAGGTAATATAGAAATGGTTAATCTAAATCTATTACACTTAGCAGTGGACTAATGACAAACATAAAACTTGAGAATAAACATAATTTAATTCCAAAAGTATTTCAACAAACCCCCTCAAACAAATAAATGTTTAATTAAAATTTAAAAAACCAATGGGTAATATCGAGGTGTTTTTCACCTTGTTAATCGGTGTACAAATCACTGGTTAATATATGTCAATACCAGGTAAATACTATGTCAATAGTGTCAATACTATGCAAAACCTACTTGTTAATTATGTAGGTAATGTATGTCAATACTTGTAGATATCTAGGCAATATATGTTAATGTCATTGGTTGATACCCATTAATGACATGTAAATACCTGCGGATATATCAATACCTAGAATTCTGGTACGACAAATATTTGATTTTAGTCTGCCAGTAGCATGGCAATACCTGGTAATATGTGATAATACTAGGGAAATACCTGGCAATATGTGGAAATATTTTGTTAATACATGGAAATAGTTGGCAATAACTTGTTATTGGGTACATAGAAATATCTGTTAATACGTGGAAATATCTCAGTTAGTACTGTTGATCGATGTACAAATTTTGTTAGGTGAAAAACCCATCGGGTAATATTTAAGTTAAAAGAAAATTCTTAGTACAACATATTTATCTTTTTGAACAGGTTAGCTACAAAATAGGTAGGTACCTATCTGATATCATATTCGAAGAAGGCATGTTATCGATAATGGGCCACTTTCACCTTTTTCAAAAACAAAATATTATTCTAATAGCATCTCAATACTTAAAAAAAAAAAAAACGCTCATTCCTGGAAATAAAACGATTTGATAATCGAATTTTTAAACTGGTGTATTGTTTCACAAGATTCTTGCAAATTTCTTGTTCTTGTCTTGTTCTTGCTGCAAGAACAAGACAAGACTCTCTTAAATTTCTTGTCTTGCAAAGCAAGACAAGACAAGAAGTTGGCAAGCAAGACAAGAAATTATTCTGCAAGACTCTTGCAATCTTGCAAGAAATCTTGCAAAAGAATGAAGCCTCCTTCTCTGCATATTTTTGAATTATTTTGGCAACGTTGCAGCATTTAACAACGAGATAAAAATGTCAGCATATCAGTTTGTAAAGTTTAAGGCATTTTTTTGCGACAAAACGTTTTGAAATTGTAGTTTTGAAACACTCAAACATATGTCAGTTTCTAACAGTTCTTGCAGCAAGTATGGCAGGAAAATTTTTGGTCATGATGGACGACACTGCACACACAATATTGAATTTTAAGCTCAATATGAAGGCCTTTCCGTTTTCAACCATCAAAGAATCAAGTTGAATTTTTTTTAAGGTCTGTTAGCATTGTAGTGCATAAAATAGTGACGTTAGAGCTGAAACTGTTTTAATAGTTATTTATGATATAAGTGCTAAAAGTGACATTTTATTTTGTGAAAAGGGAAGTTTGGCACACGACGCCGAAGGCGGAGTGTTCCATCCCTTTGAACAAAATAAAATCACTTTTAGCACGAATATCATACACTATTTCTTCTACAAACGCACTAAAAGTGATCACTTTTAGCACTAGTGCTAAAAGTAATCACTTTTAACACCAGTGTCATAAAATGGCATTTTAGACACTGACAGCATCCGTTAAAAATGACGCTTTTAGTGACGTTTGTACAAAATAGTTATTTATGATATAAGTGTTAAAAGTACATTTTTAAGGCACGCATGTGAAAGTTTGCAGATTGAGCGAAGCGAATTCTGCAATTCACATAAGTGCCTTAAAAATAGTTTTAACACAAATATCATACAATATTTTTTCTACAAACGGCATTAACCAGTAACAAATTGAATTTTTAGAATGAATAATTGATTGGGAGCATCTTTCCTACATAATATTATTGAATTTGACATTTGTCAAAAAATCCAAACAACCAGCACCTTGTTTTACAGGTAATGAAATGTCTTGTCAGTTTCTTGAAAGTCTGCCCTGTGTCTGTCGTGGTCAGTAATGCTTTTTGCTAAAAATGCAACAAAATACAGAAGAAAAAGAGGATTGCATCGATCCCTTGAAAAATATAGATGAGGCGGCCAATCAGGCTACCTCATTTGTTCAAATTTCACCATGAATATCAATGTAAATAACTAAAAATACAAACTTTTTTTGACGTTCGCTCTCAAAATTTGATGTTTCATTTTTAACACTAGTGCTATAAAGACTTTATGGCACTAGTGCGATAAAGTAACATTTTTAATGCTACGGGAGGGTGTTAAAAATTGCATTTTTAACACGTTTGTAGAAAAAAGTGTTTTTGAAACTGTTTCCTCGAAAAAAAAAAGACTTTAAACCAGGAAACAGGACAACCACGTTATCAATGACAATGACACCAATCATATTCTTAAGGGCCCCACAGACTATGATGAAACACGGTTTCATAACCGAAGTGTGTGAACAAGAAATTGCAAGAAATCTTGTTTGCAAGACAAGATTTTTTTCTGCAAGAGTCGGGCAAGACAAGAATGAATTTCATTTCTTGTCTTGCTTTGCAAGACAAGACAAGAATAGGCCCAGCAAGACAAGCAATCTTGTCTTGTGAAACACTAAACTGGTGCCACAACGTGGGTCATGGGCTCGGAAGGTGATGTCACTTTCCGGAAAATGCGAGGATGTCCAATTTCTCATTAGTGAATCATTAACAACCCACTATTTACCTAGAAACTATTTTCATCCTTGTCTTCGTTATAAAAAAATTAAGGATAGATAAAATCGTTGAACTCAATTATTGAATTTTGTATTTTTAAATGTGGCAACAAAATCTTGAATATCGGCTTTAGCCAATGAGACGGCACACGCAGTGTTGCACTCAATGGACAAAATTCAAAAAATATTGTATTTATTTTTGGTAATTAAATATGGCTATATCTGTAAAGGAATGCCTGTTGATATTATGTAAATTATTGTTAACTTTTTTTGTTCACGAATTTCGAAAAAATAGAGATGAACAAAACGAAAAACAAGTAGGTATCAACCATTTTATTCAGGTAAGGCGTGATCTGAACCACAAAATTTTCTGCTTAAATTGTAGCTTTTATGTCGTTGCTTACGTTATCCAATGTTCGTAATTTTCGGCCTAAATTCAAATAAGCTTCGGATCGTCCTGTAGCTTCACACCAAGTAGAATTCATTGAAAGTCTTACAACGGGTAATTTTTCAGGCCAAGACCCATGATCATCTTTAACTAAAATAGCAAGTCTTGTCTCTGTTTTTTCGTTCAACTATATAAGCAGAAGCATGGTAAAGCGGTGTTGCTTGTTTCATTTTTAGGATGAAGCACACTTGTTGCATAATGGCAGATATAAACTACTCTATTACCGCCAATCAATTTCCTGCATATTCCATATCTAAAGAAGATTTCATTTACTAGAATAGTAGCATAACTTTCGGTAGTAGCTTGTTTTAAGGAAAACAACTCTACCCATTTTGTTGAGGTATCTTCTACTATAAATATTCAAGTTTCTTCTCCAGGTCCGGGCGGAAGTGGTCCAAATGAGTCAATACCCAATGTTTCAAATCTTTGAGCATAAACGGGTGTTTGCAACAATCCTGCAGGTTTTTGATTTGTTGACTTGAATCTTTGACAATCTGTGCAAGATTTCAAATAATCTGCTATGTATCTTCGCATCCCAGGAAAAACGTCTCTTTTCGACTTTCGACAAATTTCTCGAGAATATCTGTATAAAACTTCTTGTGTCATGATAACCTCTTTCTGTCCATTTTCTAAACTCTTGATCTACATCACTCGGGATCTTTTAATTGCTCTTCTCGCAATTCCGTAGCAGTTCTACGAGGCATTTCTATTGAAAAAGTACAAATCTCAAAATTTTCAACAGTATTATGTTTACAGGGTGGTCTTGAAGGCATATCAGCTATGACGTTTCTCTTTCCTGGTAAATATTCAATTTTAATATCATAACTTTGAATCTGTAATGCCCATCTGGCTAGTTTACCTGTTGAAGACTTCATATTTAACAGCCATCTCAAAGCTTGATGATCTGTCTGTATGGTTCACAAGTGAACACTCTATGTACCCACGAAATTTATTTAAAGACAACACTACAGCTAATGCTTCTCTCTCAGAAGTAGAATACTTTCTTTCTGTAGCAGTCAATAATCTATTTGCATATTCCATAGGGTGTTAATTTTTTTCAATATCACCTTGAAGTAAATAAGCTCCAAGAGATGCTTGAATCGGTTCTAATTATGTAAAGCTTGGTATAGTCACATTGTTTAGGGGCGGGTGCCGTGGTGAGCAATTTCTTTAAATTGTCATAGGACTCTTGTTCAACGGATATCCATCTCCAAAAAACATTTGTTTTTTGTGAGGTTACTTAATGGGCGTGATATTTCAGCAAATCCATCAATGAAGGGTCGAAACCAACTTGCAGTTTATAAGAACGATTGCACTTCATGTAAATTTCTTGGTGGAGGTCTTTTTGTTATAGCTGATATACTTTCTGGATCCACTGAAAGACTTTAAGATGTGAATATATGTCCCAAATATTTCACCTGAGCACTCGCGAATACGTATTTCTCGCGGTTTGCACGTAGTTTGAATTGGTCAAGTCTATCAAATGCTACTTTAAGATCTATGATCTATCATATGATCTTCAAACGAACTCGATAACACGATTAAATCATCGAGGTACGCAAACACTACGATTTCACTATCATCGGTGTTCCGTTTAATTCCATTCTTAAACATATCTATAAGCCGATGAAACGTTGCCGGCGCATTTTTGAGTCCCAATGGCATTCTCGTATAATGAAAAATACCAAACGTTGTTGTAAAAGCTGTTTTATCGCGATCTGGCTCATAAACACTAACTTGATGGTAACCGGATCTGAGATCAATGGTTGTCATGCAAAGAGTCTGTTTCGCGGCGTGTAATAGCTCATCCAATCGCGGCAGTAGATATCCATCAGTTACTGTAATAGCATTAAGTTTCTCCTAGACGACACACAATCTTACACCACCTGTTTTCTTACGGACTAGTACATCTGGATGGTGCAGCCCACGGACTTTCGCAATCTTCTATAATGTAATCTTGTAACAGCTTATTCAATTCTTCTTTCAGAAGTTGTATGGAGGTAAAGAAATCGGAATGTGTTTTTTGATGTTAGTAACGATCTGCAAACGGCATTACGTCTCCCCCCAGTTTGAACGTATCCTGTCTTTCTCTTAGAAAGGTGTTGAACCTTACCTTTTCATTTTCTGTTAGCATATGGTAGCAGGCCTCAAAACATTTGTAGTTGTCATTCCTGTGGTTAAAAATTCACGCAACTCATTTTGAGATTTGCTTCCAAATTCAAAAGTCAAAGTCAAAGTCAAAAAATGCTTTATTGTCTAAGAACAAAATTCTCGTTGACAAAGCTGTAAAAGGGGAAAAAAAAAACATTATACAAAAATAATTCCAGGGCCATAGAGTACCAAGATTGAAATAATCAAAATAAAAATACAATACAAGGTCAGACTAAAACAATAAAATCATTTAAACAGTCATTAAAACAAAAGATGAAGTCACTTTAAAAATCAACATAAATATAAACATAAATCAACATAAATACAAAAACATGTTCATTCTAAAATATAAAATACAAAATATCAAAATTGCACAAACGTAAAGTCAACAGACATAGAAGTCATTAAATAAAACTACAAATTATATTCAGACAGTCACAAGAAAGCATCTTGGAAAAATTCTTCTGTGCTATAGTAGGCCTTTGATAATAGAAGCCTCTTAAGATGTACTCTAAATTTTTTACCAGATACTATCTGTCTCAGATGCAGTGGCAAATGGTTAAAGATCTTTTTACTTTGATAGATTATCGAGTTTTTTGTTTGTGTGGAGGAAGGGATAGGAAGGTTCACATTGTGTGTTTGTCGAGTGGTATGTACAGATGAAAATTCGTGTATGTTTTCCTTAAACTTTTTATGAACGAGACATGAAGTCTCTAGTAAAAAAATACTAGGAAATGTAAGCAATTTATGACGCAAAAACAATGGTCTACATGAGTCTCGTAATCCTATCTTAAACATATACCTTACCGCCCTCTTTTGCAACACAAACAACATATTAAAGAGAGACAATGAACAAAAACCCCAGAAACATATTCCATACCGCAAATGGGATTCAACGAGAGCAAAGTATGCACTTTTTGTTGTCCCAAGATCTAGCTTACTCGATATTACTCTGATTGCATAACATCCTGATGACACCTTTTTGCTCATGTATGTTAAGTGAGTCTCAAATTTTAGTCTATCGTCTATGTATACTCCTAAAAACTTACTCGATTTTTGACTGGCAACAGTATCTGCCCCTAAGGTAATTCCCTCAAAACCACATTTAAATGTTAACACAAGATCGTATTCATGGAATACATTATCTGCAAATTTCCATTTTCTATTAGCTGTATCTAGAATTATTCGAGCATACTCTATAAAATCAATTCCAAACAGCGCTTTCGTTTCGGTTTCAGGAAAAGTTATAAATTTTGTAGGAATATTTTTCCCTTCCAACATAACATCAACTTTTGTAGTGTAAACATCAGTTTGTTTTTGACCATCAGCTAAAATCACTGTGATTTGTTCACTTTTAAAGTTCTGTCCCTTGAGTCCCTTGTTTTTTCAAAAGCTGACACAACGTTAAACTAGCAACACTTTGCTTAGCGGCGGTATCTATCAAGCATAAAGCCTTGTCCTCCTACATGTCCTAATATGTTCATTTTTAAGACCGGTCTTGCGCATGGGGAAACTAAGTTGTTCAAACTAAACTAAAAAAATTCCACGCAGTTTTTTGACACACTGGGCAGTTGGATCGAAAAAAACCTGGTTTTCCACATCCATAGCAACTAGAAGAAGTCGTAGTAGTTTTATTCTTAATCGCCGTAGTGTAGCACTGGTTTATTGATTGCTTTAGAAGTAGATGAAATCAGATTTTGTTGAGCCTTTGGGTCAGTTTCAACCTTAAGTAGTTTATTTTGTAACTTTCTACATTCATCCTTTGTATGACCGATAATTCTTTAATATTGGCATCGCACTTGCGTTGTATCTTTAGCATGTTCCTTCGTGTTTCAACTATCGCGTCAATCAAATGTCTCTTCAAGCTATCTAGCTTGTTTCAATAAGTCATTTTATAGTTATTAATGATACTAGTTCGATATGAACACCATAATGAAACGCGTGTAACGTTAACGTTACACAAGTTTCATTATAGTGTACGATTCCGTTTTATAGTGCGTAGTTACTTCTAGAATTGTCTAGAAAATTCGCAATCGTTCGTCTGAATTCGCTGTCCGTTTGCTAGCCTTCCTCTTCATCAGTTTTTGTTATTTCTCAAAGTATTCCTTGAATCTCGTCGTCAGTATTAGTAACAGTTTTGTTATACTAAAGTTAAAGTTCTTCATCATCTGTTGAAAAAGCCCGGAGTTTTTGGCTGCCAAAAATGGTTAATACGGTCTTCGTGACAGGTTGTCGGTGTTAGTATGACTTTTTCCTTTGTGGAAATTTACTAAAATATCCGTTGACTATTCTTTCGCCACTTTGAATTTGGGAGAGAATATCTCCTATTCAACAATGCAGTCTCAACCACTGGTCTCAACTTACACTGGATCTTCCTTTGGTGGCCGACTCCGTTTTATAATGCGTCGTTGCTTCTAGAATTGTCTAAATGCTTCGCTTCCGTTCGTGCGGAAAAATTCAATACGTGTATTTTCTAGGCATAGGTAATAACAATTATTGCTCATGGATTTTTTCATTTGAAAATTCGACTTATGTTTAATTTATTCACAACCAGCATTGAGTAATTTTGAATAGGTCAGTTCTTAATCACCGAAAAATTACAAACCCCAATACACATCATGAATTCTTTAATTTGCGATTAATCCAATAATCCAATATAAAGTGACTCATGATACATGTGAAAGTATGTGGTTATTCCACTGAATTAATTATATTCTTTCCATCGCTGTTATTGACCCATTTTTATTTAGGTTTTTGGCAAAAACGTGACGTCGTTTACGTGCAACCCGATGTCAAATTTGGTGGCGATTTCTTGTTTCTGGCAACCTCAAGCGAAAATCCACAAGTGATAAGTTGCAGCTCGTTTGCATATTATAAGAAATATATGAAGAATTTTGATACTTGTTCTACTATTAAGGTAACTTTCTCTGATTGTGAGCATTAAATTAAGAAAATTACAATACAACTTAGTTTATTTATTCTAGGTTCGAGAATTAGACGACAATTACGATGGAAAAGCTGATTCTCTTCACGTTGCAATTACCGCTGGTCTTCCAGAGCATTTCAAAATAAGCTCGATCCATTTGGTTCTTCCAATAAACTATACCCTAGGGGTAAGTATAAAATATGAGCAACAATCAATTGTAAATAAAAAATTTGTAATTTTTAGTTGCCATGTACCTTTCATACACAAAGTGCCATCATATACCAAAACTTTGTTACTAGTAGTCTTACTCAAATTTCTGTCTATGCAGACTTGGGTTTGAAACAATCAGAAGCAATAAGATGTTCTAAATATGACTTGGCAATGAACCCAGACTATTTACTTATCAATAAGGAAGATATTCAAAGTGTAAAATTTGAAAATATTATAGCAAGATATGCAGAGAGCAAATGTAAGTTATGTAATTCATAACACCTAACTGTAGACTGTAGCTCAATTATTATATTATAAGTATTGCTCAAAAGTAATTGTATGCATGTTTTTAGTAAAAACCACTTTGGACAACATATTAACAACAACAAATCCCATCATGGACGGTACTTTCACAATCAACCTTATCCTAAAATACCCAGAACAAAAAATTTACTTCAAACCAAGATTCTGGCAAATAATAAAGTTAGCATGGATGCAATACATTGCCGTTTACATAATAATATCCTGGATCATACTTCAAATAAAAACTTATATTTTCAAAAACAATTTAGTATCGATGTATGAGGATAAAACAAACATAAATAAAAAATACAATTTACAATAAAAGTCGAGCTTTATTTAAAATTTCATGTCCAGGTCGTGCAGATTTGACTCAGGGCCAAGTTTGTTGCGGTTGTCTTCTACAATTATCACACTTTTGAACATGTCATCCACTTCCACGAATAAGTAGCGGTATTCATACTTTCCTTTGTCATTCTAAGAATTGAAAAAAACCAAGTGTACAGCTTCAAACAAAGCCATATTGATAATTGATATTTTCTTACCTCTACCATATCAACATGGCTAGTGCCCGAATGGGAAGTACCTTTCAAATGGAATTTCATTCTAATATGCTTTCTTCCTTCCTTGTCAACATAAAAAGCGTGAGTAACATGTTGTCTCCTGCCTGAAAATTGGGCAATTGGAAAAAGACAAAAAAAAAGAGAAAATACAAAAATAATAGGCTCGTACAGCATATTTTTTTTATTACATATTCTAAATGAGCGTATTGAGTTCAGCAGTTATGCAAAATTTCATAATTTTCTGAGCCCTTGTTCATATTTAAATTAATTATCAAAGTATTCCAAATTTGAAACACGCGGTGACGTCACTGCATCTCTCACGTCGGTCGTCGCGGTGCTGGTACGCCAGTCACTTCGACAATACGGGCATTGTTTTGACAAATTTTGGTTTGGCATCGTTTAGAAAAGTTTTAGTTTGGCATTTTATGTATCTGGTAGAGGTTTGATGTTTTTCTTCCAAATCACATTTCGTATATTTGAATAATTCCCTGAGTTTCAATATTTTATAAGCACAATTATGGAAGTAGTATGTGTATGACGACCTTTATAGCCTGTCTCGACTCGAGAGATGCTATGACGTCACAGTAATGAATTTCCGAGGCATAACTTTTTAATATTAAAAAACGCGTAACTTTTCTAATATTTATCCAATTGAGCTGAAATTTTTTTTATGTGTTATATGTGAATAATACTCCATAAAAATGTGAAAACCCGCGTTAAAATTTTTTTATTGAACGAGCCTATTGCCTACTCACTCACCTCTTCTTGTTTCATGTCCGTGCGAGCTTATCGGATACCCCAGCTTATCAGACACCTGCGTATTCTCAATACACTTATCTACAGCTTTCTTGTAAATATTACTAGGACTCTTACTAGAAAACAATTCACTAAATATCGTATAACCCAAACCGCCTATCACTCCTAGGCCAACCAGAATAATTAAAGCATTGTAAGTTGTCTTGGTAGTTTCCTTCACTCTTTCGCCTAGAGGTTTTACATTTGTGTCGATTGCAGATTCTTTGCTACTCGCAGATGGAGTTATTTCACTTCTAGTACCACCACTTTTTAATCTGTGGTGTAAATGATTGAATAAAATAGGGCTGAACGTAGCTATTTGCAGACGACTGGCGAGGATATTAGTGGTAATTCTTAATGGAATCATTTGGGGGCTTGGGAAAGATAAATTAAATTTGTAACAAGAGATTATTGAAATTTAAATTGATTTTATATTTAGCTTTGGTTTGGTGTTACCTACAAGCTACATTATATATTTATTGTTTATATTGAACATCAAGACTTGTTTGCGATGAGAAATACAGGGAAAGTGGGAAAAATAAATTAAAGAAATATTTAGTTTAAACTGAAGAAAAATATTCAAGAATCAAAATCAAAATATAAAATCAAAAATGAGGTTAGGTTATGTTGGTTTGGTTCACGCCGGTCGAGTTGACGGTTCGTGTTCGTACTCCCCTTGCCTTCGGTATTTTGCTCAAAGAGCAGAGCGGAGGCGTAATCAGTGACCAGCGAGCGAACAGAGCAGTTGAACGCTGTATCAGAGTGCCAGAAATTTTAATAAACGGACGCGAATGAGCCTGCACCGAGTACACTTTTTAAATAAACGAACGGTAAATTCCAGCTCGGAGAACAGATCGCGTCCGGCGTTTTTATTCTCATATTTAGTAGGTCTGTTCTCACAGAAATCACAAACCAGTCAGAAGGAATTTCATTGGTTGAAAACAGTCAGAAAGCTAGTTTCAAGTTCCAGGGCTGGTTTTCAATAGCGAGTCACCTTCAGGTTCATTTTAACTCCAGAGTAAACGTATTCAGTTGCAATGTTTACCAGAGTCGCTTTCCAGTGACGCACTTTAAGCACTCCTGACTACTCTAGAGTGCCTCGGGTTGTTAATAGGCGACGCTTTAAATCATGGTGCGTTCCAGTGACACAAGAGTTGTTTGGTACACCCAGAGTGTAAAGCCTCGGGTGTGGAGCACCTTAAAATTCGTCACTTGGAAGCGGCTCTGGAGTTGCTTAACCCGAGGGTGACTCAAGAATTATAAACAATACTACAAACTCTGCTACTACTGATTGTTTATCGTCCTCGTTTTTGGTAATCGCCTCCATCGCCTCCATATTGGTGTGTCACCATTTCCGACGTCATAACTAAGTCGTCAGCTGTTTGCACTAGCGGTCGTCGTTTAGAATTTAAATTCATGATGCAAAATATCTAATTCTAATTAACCTAATAGGCAAAGAGGAAGCTGGAAGCGAGATCTAAAAAAGAATTATTTCAGAATGGTAATTAATGTAGTAAAACCAAGTATTTATAAAGCAAAAGCCGGCAAAATCAATAACCAAGGCAAGAAAGGACATGCTGCCTACGTCACAACTGGTGATTTGGCATGGTGAGGGCTTCAAATTTGTTCCACACAAACCTCATGAGAATAGGCTATCTTGTAGTAGTAGTGTGTATTAATTATCCTTGGGGTTACTTGCTATTAGTTGTATTCCTTTCAAGAGTTTGAAACACTCGAGCTACTCGCTCCAGTGTTTAGTGTCGCCCCCCGATTTGCAGGGAACAGATGCGTGGTGCAACAAAAATTTTTTGGCCCTCAACCAATGAAATTCACTCTGACTGGTTTATGACTTCTGTGCGAACAGACCTAAAGGTGTTTTCTCGTGTCTCAAATGTTTTAAATCATTTTTCAAAACTGGTTTAAAACAGTGTCACATGACGTCATAACTTCTTGGCGCGAAAAAATGGTTTGAAACTGTGGATTGGATTGTATTTTGAAACGGTTTGAACCAATTTTCATGTGACGTCATGAATTCATCACGAGAATATACTGTTTCAAACCTGTTTTGAACCAGTTTCAAAAAAATGAACGTGAGAAAACAGCTCTTGTGTATTCATTCAGTTTGTCTACTCTACCAAGGGACCTTCAAATCAGCGCCAGACATGGAAGAGCCTCCATTTTCGTGGTATTGTGTGGTACTGCGCCTCTTGTGGTCGATAACTTCAGGCGCTCTCCTATTTCTATCTCGGTAGGAGTTTTCCATAGGTTGATGAACTGAGATATTTATTATATTGTTTATCTTTGAAAATATAGACCCACCTCAAGGATGATACACACCTACAGGGATTGCTTATCGGCCTCGTTCTTGGTAATTGCCGCCATATTGGTGTGTCACCATAACCAATACGGAATTCTATTGGGAGGGTTATTGCGCCCGAGTGTATTCGTGTCTTTTTCTACCAGCTTGTATGAGAAAGAGATAAAATTACATTTTTTTCTGCACTGGTTCTACCAATAGAATTCGCTAATAGACGTCAGCTGTTTAAACAGCCTACGTCATAGCGAGAAATAACTTGCTCTCTACGTCACAACTGGTGATTTGGCGTGGGATGGGGGGAACGGGGGATTTGTTCCACACAGGCCTTATGAGGATAGGCTATCCTGTAGTAGTAATGTGTATCATCCTTGGACCCACCTAGCTAAGGTAACCTTAAAAGCACACTGTAGCATTTTCTTTATTTGGTTATTGATGCTTTTTGGTTTTGCACACAGGAGCTATTTCCGCTTGCTCACTCCGTGCACTCTAGTACTCCCATATGCTTTCGAACTTGCGTAGAGTTACTTGAGTTTACCTTCGGCTATAATCTTCGGGCGATATGGATCGAGTCGAGTAAGTGGAGCTCAATTCGAAAGTTTCACAAAGTGCTACTTTCCGCTTGCAAATAAGTGTGGTGGCTTCACCGCCCGCTTGTAGGTAAAATAGGACACAGTTTTGCTTGAAATGTAACTCTAGTGCAGTTTGAACCGACACTTTGGAACGAGTGTCAAATGACTAGATCGCAATATTTCATTGCGTAATCAGATGATATATTTATTTACCTAACAAGTGCGGAAAGTGGTACTTTTCGATCTCTTTACTCGGCAAGAAAACTGCTCTGACTAGTCTGACTCCAAATCAACTGCGTTTTGAATAGCCAAACCCAGATAAAGGTTTCTACTAGAGATCAGCTTTGTTCGCGGCATGGAGGCTAGCGGTAAGGATTCAGAAATTCAGATTTGATTCGTAAGAATTCGCATGTGCAGGCAGTACAAATTATGTCGTTTGCAGATCACTAAATTTCGTTTCAGTTCTTTCTTCGCGGTTCAACACGAATTGGTTCCGGATCGATTCTGAACTAGTTCTACCGGTTATCAGAATCCCTAGTCCCTGTTCGTGTCAGTGAGCCTAATAGGACTGCTTATTTTGCTGAAAGTGTCTGCCATGTCAGCCTCCAGACCTTAACTCTTGGCGGAAAATGCATTATACGAGTTTAAAAAACTATTTGATCAAAAAAAGGAATGCCTAAATGTTAAAAATCATCTTTTCTATCTATACTCTATTTTTTCCCAAGATAGATTTTGACACTGTCAACTGAAACATAAGCAATGCCACTTATTGGGTTACAACATGTCATTTGCTCCATTGTTAAACTGATTCCAACCTGCAGGGACACGGCATTTTGCTACCAATCAGGGCCAAGCGATATTGTTTATGTTTCAAAGTTTTCAATGTAAAAATCCATCTTGGGAAAAAAAAGACTCTACATTTAAAATCAACGAAATAATTTACTCACAACTCAAGCAGGGACCCAGACCGGAACGATCTTGAACCGAAAACCGGAACGGAACCGTTTTTTTTTTGCGGATCGAAACCGGAACGAAACCCATATCTCATAAAAAAGGCAATTATTCGCGAGGATAATCAAGTATAATCGATATGCTGGATCAAGGTTCCTAGATGCTGATAGGTTGCCTGATAATTGGTAACTTGATGACGCGTCTGGGGTGCCTTATAGAGATTTGCAATATATTTAGGCACCCCAGATGACGTCATACGTTATCAGGCAACCTACCTCTCTCAAACTACCTTGACGCTGGATTATGTGATGTGTCAATTGTGTCATACTCCTTTAACTCCCCCACCATCAAATTCTGGGATACTCGAGGATCAAGAACACCTAATTTCTTCTGTGAGAACAGACCGAAAATCACCTTTTCTACATTTAAAATCGACAAAAAAATTACCTGACATTGACTAAGAGCCTGAATTGCAAGCCTTCCTTCGAGGTCTGCGAGTGACGTCATCCCTATAAGCTGCTGATAGTGATGTCACTCGCAGACCAAAAATTGGATGGCGAGGAAGGAGAGTAAAGACTCAATTGCAATTGACATATCACATAGCCCAGCATAATCAGATTATGCTTGATTATCCTATCCTCGCGAAAAATTACCTGTTGTGAAGCAGGCAGAACCGGAACCGATATAAATTAATCGATTCTTACCGGTATTTTTGGGCTTCAAGATTTTATAAATTAGGCTGTTCAATTATTAATATTAAAGTTGTTGCAGATAGGCCGAGAAATCCAATAAAAATTAAACCAAACCACAAATTACAGAAACATTAATTTTGCTGTTAGATATTTTGTGAAAACCAAACTGAATCGAAATATTTCTCCTACAACCGGAACCGATATTTGTCATGACGCTGAGGGCCGGAACGGAACCGATATTTCATTTCGGTCCGGGTCGATCCCTGCTCACAAGCAAGCAATTCATCGAGGTCTGCGGGTGACGTCACCACTATCAGCTGCTGATAGTAGTGACGTCACCAGCACACCCCTGCGAACTCGAGAATAGGCGACCGTACGCCTTAGGATGAGCAATCGTGTTAGTTTACGATTCTTGCTCTTGGACATTCTCGAGTAAAAAACATGGAAATTAGGATCAGACATGTATTTATGCGCCTGTCGTCAACATGCAAATTCTATTTATCGACAAACTATACTTTATTTTAGGATTTTAGAGCGCAACTTCTGTTTGTCCTTGTCACCACTTTTTCTCTAGGGTTAGTAAAAATTGTCACATTTCAGTAAACTTCAATAATCATTAATACATCATTTAAAATTCTAAGTTAAAAATGAACGATGAGATCCTAAGGCGCCACTTTGAAGCGGCGATCAGTGCTCTGCAAGACCAAGAAACTTTCGATATTTTCACCAGAATGAAACCATCAAGGGGTCCCATGCTAAAACAAATTTATTTCAAAGTTTCCAATGCAGCTCAAGTAAATCATGAGCCACAATCAGTGGATGACACGGGTACGGCTGCAAGAAATTCCTCCAATTTTTCAAGCTTATACAGCATACCAGAGCCTGATAAAATCATGGTAAGACCACGAGCAACTTTTACTGCGGCGCAACGTCCAGCGTCTCCAGCTTCATCATCGCCGAGACCAATTTCATTGACGGTTTCATCCAGACCAATTTCTCCAATACCACACTCGCTGCAATTTAGTTCTTCAAGGCCTATTTCATCCAGACTGACGGTGCGCCCTATATCAGCAGAGAGTTTTTTGCGATATTGTTCCCGTTCGAAGGAAGTTCCGCA